TAATTTACAATTCTATTAATATTCCTAAAGAACGCTAACAATGTTGATTGTGACAAAAAAATGATGAGTGAAAAGATAAATTATTTAAATTGTCCCACAACAACATGTCACGTGGCAAGTTGACATCATGTCAAAATCATTGGATATCAAGCATTGTTTAATATGATATAATAAAAATCTTATTCAAAACTCTAGAAGAGTCAATATTCTGTGATGAAGGGACGAAATTTACTATTTTTAGTATTTTGTTCTCCACTTAGCCCTTGTTTGAGTCCCATTTTCTCAAAAATATATTTTCTTAAAATTCATTTTCAACTGTACATTCTTCGATAGAATAATTTTACACGTAAATTTAATTTTTTTCTTATTTTTTAATCACATGCTCCAAAGAATTACTGTTCAAAAATACATTTTTCTTCAAAATGGGACTCAAACAAAAGCTTAACATAAAAGAAACTTACAAAGTTTTATAAAATGCCTAGTAGAGCATGTCCAATTAGATCATTACAAGATCAATAATGATACAAAAAATTATTGAGAATTTAAATAGACATTCAACGAAGAATCCTAAGATTCTTCAAAACAATTAATTCCTATATGATTGTTCTCTTTACTGAAAATTGGTTATTAATTATCACTAACTAAAATATTGATAGAATTCCTTATATTTTTGAAAGTTAATTAGGGTGATACGTAGCTCCTGCATCCTCCATGTTGAGTTTCTAGATATTATTTATGTCTAATAAATATGATGCATCCATTAGATAATTGAATGGTATTCGCAACTTGAAGTTACAAAATATATACTCAAATTTTAAATTATATGCATAATTTTTAGGATTATACAATCAAGACGGTTTGTCTTGTTAATACTAGTGAGGTTAAATCTCAATATTTTAATAAGTGTTAATTGAGAAACCGATAAATGATTTAACAATATTACTTGTTAAACGTCTCTGATTAATTTCTTAATCATTAATATTGAGAACAACCCACTTCTTAGATAGGATTTTGCCAAGTGTACATAATAAATGTACATAAAGGATAACATAATGTTATGTTGAGGGAAAAAATTGATTGAAAAAATTGATTGTGTTTTAAACAGACAAATGATAAAGTGTCACGTGACATTATGGACACTTCTATGTATATAGTTATGTACCTATAGCACTTAGATATTACAAATGCTAAGAATTTAAACCTTTATAAGATATCTTAAGCAATAACGGATGATATTTTATAGCACAATTTGCTAACTGTCAATTTGATTAAACTATTTTCTCAACATTAGGAAAAGAATTTAAAAGTTGAAAATAATGCACAAAATAATCACTATATTATTTAGATCCCCACAAAAGACAATTCAAACCAAAAGTTCAAAGACAATTCATTTTAATGCACTTATCGATCAATATCTCACATGTCAACTTTAAATGCTCCAACACTAATTGATATCCTAGGAGAACAATTCATTAACATCATATATGATATATTTATGACACGCTTGAAGCATGAATACCTTGATTCTAGGGGGAAAAAAATCTAAAAAAGAAGGTACAATTAGCAAAGATTGTCCCATTTAGGAGATATATACTTTTGAAAAGTATATAGACATAACAAAATGTAAAATCTCAAAAAAAGTTTAGGTACCAGAAATGTTAAAAATTGAGACATCTCAATAAATTATGTTGTTATGAAAAAAAACAAAATTAGAATAAAAAAGAAAAGAAAAAGTTGTTGACAACACTTTTGTAAATGATGTACTACTATATATTTCAAAACACAAGTGTACTCATATTAATAGAAGAAATAATTGGTTTGAAATTTGAAATGCGATTATAATTAATTCATCTAGCACGACTATTAATGTTATCTTTGAAGTAATTATTATGCATGAAGGATATAATTCAAGTAATATTATCATGAAGAGAGTAAATAGGCATTGTATTATTTTCCAATTGACCGAGATATAGTCCCATAGGATTTTCCTTGCAAGATTTTTAATAAGACAACTTTTATATCCTATTGAAGAAAATAATGTAACTTTTTTTCCTTCATTAAGATTTTTTCATGGGATTTTTCCTAATAAAGTTTTAACGAAGCATATTCTTAGCGTAATGAATGTCCATAACTTTTAGTGTTCGCCTGTCACATGCACCATATGTCGGCTCAATTAATATGTGTTCAAGTCAGTCTATAAGCTCAGTTCTGAAGAAAATCATTGAGAGGCTTAACAGAGCAAGCATCACACTATATGGGACGTTATTTAACAAACGACTACAAACAAATGGAGCATAAGTCATAGAGATCTTAACCAAATAGGTTTACACACACACACTTGAACCCGTTATCAGCTATGGTTAAGCTAGGTTGATTGCATCTACTTATACACACCACTCTTGATTTCTCCTAGAAAATGGTATGCAACCAACAATTTGACGATCATTTCCATGGTTACAATGAGCTAAAGATCATTCTTTTTAAACAGTTACAAACTTCACACATCCTGGGTGATCCTGTACTTGCATATGCTGCGAGCTTATTCAAACATGCATTTGTCGACATTCAATGTGAATCTACAACTATAAATTGCTGATCAAAAGTTTCATTATCATGGAGATGCATCTAAGTAAATTAGGATGACAGGTAAAATAGAAACAAAGAGAATCCATCCTATCCACCGTCTTGAGTAAAACGTTTCGCATCAATCACATAGACTTTCATGAAATAAACAAACTTTACGGTGCAAGGTAGTAACGATTATAGCGGTGGCTTAAGAATGCAGTACATTCTTCTGCACTGATAGTGAAGTAACATCATTAAAGAACTCCTCATTAAATGTTGAACAGATTTGATTCAAGTATGAACACTATTTAGGAACGGCAACTGGTGTACACTGATTTGTATCTTCTTACTGGAGAAATGAAATCCTTTGGCTAAAAACATTCAGGCATTTAAGATATAATGTTACAAGAGAAATGCATGGTTATATTGCATGTTAAAAAAAATGAAAGGATTGAAATCGTTCCAGGCAAAAGATCAAGTGATTTCCTCTTTCCTGGGCAGAACAGCACCATTACTACCCTTGATATCAACCAACATAAAAAATAGTAACCATTCCTCCTGTTAGTCCAATTCAAATCAAGACTACGACTACTATAACCAAATGACAACCACGAAGACACCGACCACCACTCAATGCATATAAATGTTATAATTGAACCATCAAAATCCATAAAAGAGATGATCAAGTGTACCCTTAGCTGCTTATCTTCCTTGGAGGATGCAGTGAAGGATACTTATATTACCAAAGTGATTATAATTTCATTATTTTAGAAGGTTACTGACTCAAAGGGTACTAGTAGTGACAACTGTAACTCAACAACTACTGTGTTCTCAAAAACTGGCCATAGTTAGAAGTCCTCGATCACCTCTGGTAATTTGAATTTAGGAAACCAAATAATGCCCCAGGGCTCTCACTGCAATCATTTGCCACTTCAACATTTTAAGTGTTTCCAAAATCAGACACCAAATGCAGCTATACAAGAATCAGTTTTTCAATTATTTATTTATTTATTATTATTATTATTATTATTTTTTTTTGTTAAACGACAAGAAACAATGCCTTGGGATTATCAAGTAGATTGATTTATAGAAGAAAAAGTATCGACCGCAAGTCCGAAATGCTTGTTTATCTATAAACAGAAACAGAAGGTGGCAAGAGAAGCCGTACCTCATTACATGGTTCATTGGAACAACTTTCTTGAACTGATATTTTCATTATCTTCAACTATAGGTTTGCATAACTCCCTAGAATGTTAACGTAGTCACACTGAAATCTGTTAGACAGCTTCACTCTCAATATAAGACAAAGTAAAAGTTCGATGAATTTAAGAAGTGGTATATTTGTGTTGCAACAGAAACTAAATTTGTAGGAACAAATAAAGGACTGTGGCAGGTATGGATGAAAAATTATATGAAGGCCAGAAAAGTACATTACAACGAACAACTTTGTCATTGCAAACCTTGATGAACTTCATAATAGCGAAGTACATGCTTCTAGTAAAAAATTAAAAAGCCAATTTTCAATATAACCAAGGTTCCATTTGGTTTGAATTATGTATGTCTTCATTATGCTTATTTGAATAATCAATTAAGAAGTGATTATGAAATCGTAATAAACTTTTAAAATTCTATATAACTAGATTAGTTCTTTGCTATAATAAAAAATATTAAATTTTAAAGATGAGTAAATCTTTTGTTTTTAACTAAATCCATAAAATGATTTAGAGCAAATGGGGGCTTAGTAATGGAAAATTACAAAATATTAGGAATTACTGAAGTCTTTGTGGGGGAAAGAAGAAAAATGACTATCATCTATTAACTCCACAAGCATGGTTAAAAAACTGGAATTATCTTTAAGACCGTCAAAGCCATATACTCACAATTTCTCCAAGAGAAGAATATGAAAGAAAATATGATTCCCTTTTTCTGGCATGCCTACGTTGTTGTGTCAGCACTAAATTGCTAATGTCAAACACAACTTAGCTTTGAAGATTCTGATGTTTAACCTGGTAGTAAGGTAATTATGAGATCACGTGGAAGATCAAAGAAGGGAAAAAAATTGTAACATGAACACCCCAGTTCATTGAAAAGATACAAAGTCACACACACTTCAGCCAGGACTGAAAGGTGAGCGTCCTCTCATGGTTTCAAGTTTTGTAAACGAGTAGCTAAGATTTCAAGAACTTCCTATGATGATGCTATCATTATCATGTCTCCTCCAAGTAATTTTGCAGCCACCAGCTTACCTCTGTACTTCATTTCTGATTAAATAGATTATTCGTTTATACTAGCATGTTGTTGGCACTCAACAAATTATAATTTTTTCAAACACACTCTTTTTTGGGTTTCAATAATCACATGTTCCAAGTTTATAATGATGTATCGTGATTCAGTAACCATCAAAATTTGTACTACAGTTTTTCTCTGCGAGAAAGTAAACGCAAATCGCACTTGAAATTTTATTGATTAACTCAGACTAAACAAAAATACAATAACAACATATATCTGGCGCATTTATTCCATCTGTCACTTGGATAAACAACTGTTTGAGTAATAATTTTTAATGCATTCAGGCATGTATTTGTGTATAACATACAGTAACTTAATCCAAAGCTTTTCAACATTTCAGCAGCTGCAACCTATCTAAACTTACTCAACACCCAGTAGTTCATTTCCCGGATTTGTTCTCTTTGTTTTTATTCCCATATATCAATCCAGTTTCCTGCCAAAATTTACACCTACACTCCCGTGAATTCCAATTTCCATCAAACAATAAATTTCTACACAAGTAATAAAATTTATGCAGTACCTGAGGATCCGGAATCGGTTTGCGCTTTTCCACATATTTATAAGGATCTGAAGCTGCCGCTAACGCCGCCCTCTCCTGCCAAAACAAAAATAAATATATAAATAAACATCATAGTCGTAAGAAATTAAAATTTGAAGGTGACATAGAGAGTGAGCATTTGCCTCTTGCTCTTTTTTGAGTTGCTGTGAAGGCCTGACCCAGAGGAAATAAGCTAGAGTTCCGGCGACGACCCAGGAGGCCAAATTACTGCCTCCTCTTAAGCCTCCCATAGAATTTCCAACAAAGGACCTCACATTCCCAAACGTTCTCCTCCAACTACTCGTCATTTTGGCGGGATCTTTTATGAATCTCAATTCAGCCAATAATTTCAACTACGCTTACAGAATTTAGGGTTTCTTTTTTCTTCTTTTGCTTTTTCAGATTGAGGGTTCGAATAATTGAGATAAATAAGATCTTGCCGTCGTTTGAAAGGGCAAAACTGGAGGTTGTGATGGGGAAGAATTGAATGAGTGAAGAATGCGTGGCTAATTGCTGGGCACTCACCGCCTAGCCCTTGGTGGTTTAAGCCTGCCCACTGGTTCAATTTTTCACCAGCCCACTAATTCAACTTTGAGCAAGCCCATGAAAAACTAGTAGCCCACTTATACAGAATGATGAAGAGGCCATGGACATTCATTCCATTCTGATTTCACTTCTTGCTTCCCGAGCCTTCGACTGCTTGAAAGCGCTAAAACTCTCTTCTTGAATGCATGGATGATAAAATGTCGAGTAATGCTACACTTGCTAAAAATATTTTAAATTTTTTTTACAGAATACTCACAGTAACGGGGCCCATTACAATAAAATATTCACACGGGATTCACCCCATGTGTCTAACCTATTGAACATCTGTGCAAAACTCCTTTTACGCAGGTCATTTCCCTAAAATGTCTCGATCTTGCTCCGTTATCTTGTTTCAAATAGGCTAGATATCCTTTGTTCATTATTTTTACTTTTCTATACTTGAGTAAACAAATAATAATAGTTCTATTTTCACTTTGAAATAATTGAATTTGCCAACATTCTTAATTTTCATTAATTATTTTTTATCAATATATACTAATATCTCCTTTAATTAGAGTAATATGAACACATAATATCATATATAAGAAAGAAAAAGTATTGAGTTAATATCTCGTAGAATCACTATATTTTCCACATTTTTTTTATTGACAATTGTACTTTCCAGAATGTTTTTTACTAGTCACAGAACTTTTGCGACAAGGAAAAAAATTAACGATTAAAAGGTACATTGAGTATACATTATCCATGCCATTGTTTCTATCTATTTTTTAACGATTAAAAGGTTCTAAACGTGAGTATACATCAGGGCTGGTTATGATATTTTAGGGGTCTTACACCAACTTCAAATATGAGGCCATATTGAAGAAAATCATTGTATTCTTATTTAAGCCTTTCTTATAAAGAGTTATAATATAATTATGAAAAATCTAATACAAACAACTAAACTCTAAATTTTGAAGAGAAAAATAACAAAATGTCGAATTTTTAGCATGCAATACAAATTATAAGTGAAACTTGGCATATAGAATTATAATGCAATGACAAAGGGGTCTATTCGTTTCATTGATTTTTTTCTCACTGCAACTATTTAAAACAAAATTAAATATGCATTTGAGATATTTATGTACAAAATTAGAGAATGTTGACCGCGAGAGATAATATAACAAAATAATAAAAATGAGGATCAAATACAAATGAGCCACTAATTTTATATTAATTCATACTAAATTAACTTACAAATAAGAAATATGTACACGGACAAAAATTTATTAAATTCAAAGTGCATTCAACAAGCATTTAAAAATACTATTATCATGAGATTAAATCAAAACAATAATAATAACAGCCTATGTACTCTGTGGTATATATTTTGAAGATAAGAGAGAAAGAAAGAAATCTATAAGGCTGTAATAATAGCAGTGAAACCACACCAATCTACTAAATTGAATTTTTAAAATTTTAATTCAAAGTGAGATATTCATTTCTTGTTGGATTGAAAAAAATTATGGTGGGTTACTTTTGGACGTGGAATTTGAAGAGACAAATAGACCTTTTTGTTTGGATAAGAGAAGGAAATTAATGATTGGAGATTAATGATCAAATTACTTATAAAGAGAGAGTAATGTCGGTGATATATTTATACGATAAATAAATGTAAGTGATAAATTTTAGAGTAATGCTATGTAACTTCATTGGGCTTGCATCTTCAGTTTAAGTGATGCTAGATGATAGGCTAAATGAAATGTGGAATTAAATGAGCCATTTTGTTCTACTTATCATTTAATATCACGTTAGCGTCATTTATACTGGGGTTGCAATTCAAGTGAAATTAAATAGCATTACTCTAAGTTTTATGTTATTAATATATTTTTTCTAAAAATTTCTGTATTTTCAACTTTTATTAGTTTCTTGTATTTGCATATTAATAATTCTATTTTAAAGAATTTACAAATATATTCTCATTTTTCTTCAACCAACCAATTAGCCTTACATAATTTAGGGTCCTTACCGAACTGGAGCCTTAGACGACCGCCTACCCCACCTATAGTCAGAGTCACCACCGGTATACATTATCTATGCCATTCATCCTATCTATTTTTTAATGATTGATGGAGGCTAATGGTAAAAATTGTGAAAGTGGAGTGCTCTTTTGTGCATATAACCCCTATTTTGCTTAAGTTAGATATGAAAATGTTATCGTGTTCTAATGGAATTTCGAAACTCTTTAGTTCAAGAGATGTAGAACCCCAAATAATTTTAAACATCTTAGTAGCACTAAGACGTGAATATTGGATGGCTAAAATATACTTCAAATTTTTAGTCTCATTTGAGACCCATTTACGACATAGAAAACATTCGATTTGAAAAATGATATCTTAAAAAAAGCTGTAGCTCTTTGAGTTGGCTTTCCAACGCACTTTGAATTACCTCAATTGGATAATGGGAGAAGAAGTTATGATCGAAATACTAAAGGTTGTACAGTATCAACCGAAGTACGCGGAATATGAAAAGTCAAATTCCTACACGATTTTCTAGCACCTTCTTAAATCTATAACTCCCACATAAATGGCACCCGTATTAATGAGTATTAGGCCCTTCACTTGCCCTTAAATAGTGATATTTTCACCTATAAATAGGCCCCAATACATACACATTTTTCACACCAAGACAAAAACTTCTAAACATAAAAGAGAGAGTTTTCAAGTCTAGAAAAAAGAGAAAGGAGAGGGAGGAAAATTAGTCTTTCCTAGAAGTTTTGGTGCTATCAAGAAGTATTTTTCCAAGAATTAATTCTCAACGGAGTGTTTTTTTTTTAAACATCAAAGGAGTGTATTTTACAACAAGGTTCAAAACATCAATCAAGGTAGGTAGATGTGCAAAGTGTTAATTCGTGTTAAATTATAAGTTTCTAGCAAATGAAAATTTATGTTAATATTTGTATGTCTAATGGTACCTCCGGTACGGCATACATCTCCATGTCTAATGGTACCTCCGGGTACGGCATGTACTTCCGGTCGAGGCGTCATGTTAAGTCATGACTCTACGTATTTGGGATTCTACCGAAAATCCTACTATGAAAATGTTTCTAAAGTTACAGCTTTGAAATGTATAGCTTGATCACGAATGCACCAATGATATCTATTGAGTTTTTTTAACTCACGGATTTAACTCCTTCTCTACAGATTGATATGATTCTACCTTGGGCCTAGATGATAGAAAAGATGGAGAGTAGTGCAACGAACCCATGGAAAATCAGGTGAACAAGTTATTTAGATTTATTTTTGTAAACGTTTTCAATGTTATTTCTTTAAAGTATTTGAATAACGCTGAACGCGAGAACAAGTTGTGTTTTTTCAAATAAATTAAGTTCCATTTTTTTATTCAGTGTTTTATTTAAAGTATTCAAAAGGTTGTTGTTAAAATTATCATTTGTAAAAATTAAGCTTCTGCTAAAACATATTCTCCTATGACTAAACCACCGGTTAGTTAAGTAAAGTAAGTAGCGTTCTGGTCCACAAGGGGCCGGGGCATTACAGTGTGGTATCAGAGCAAGGTTTAGCCGATTCTGTAGATCAAGTATGTTTTAAAAAAACTGTTTAGCCGGTTTTGTAGACCAAGTATGTTTTTTAAAAAAAAAGGGTTTAGCCGGTTCTGTAGATCAAGTATTTTTTTTTTAAATGAAAAAGTCTAAGATACTCCATGACATCTTGCATCCATCTATCAATCTCATCCTACAGCCCAGGTATGTTCAAAGTTAATGTTTTCATGAAAAAACTATGTTATGATGCTTTGCGATGTTATGGTACAACTTATGCTTATTTTCAAATATATACTATGCCAGTTAGAAATGATTTGAAAGACGTGTTTTTTTGTTCAAAAGATACGCATTGGGTTAGAATTTATAGGTAGAATGTTATGTAACAGTAGCCATTTTTCCAAGAGTAAAAAAAAAGTGTATGATATGTGAAAATGCAACAGATATGGCTCGTAGAACGGTTAGGGCATATAGAGAAGCATTAAACCGTAAAATCGTCATTCAGTCCTATGAGAATTACGTGACTGATCTGCTCTGTCCACTTGACGAACATATACATGATGTCTATGAGAAATGCATGACAGCGGTGAAAGCTGGAATGGAGATAACGCATATTGGAATGGAGATAACGCATATTGAGGCTATAAATAACCTCATACACTCCCTTCCACCTCAATGGGGAGACATGGGAGTCACGGTTAGGGATGTAATGCTAGAGGAGCACCCAAATATATTTGAGTTTGAAGTGTATTGCCAATCACTCCTAGACCTATGGAGGGAAAACTTAGAACCTCAACCGGAGATAGTAATTGAACTTGATGAAGAAGAAGAGCCTGAAGAAGGGAATGATCCTGAGCCTGAGCCACAGGTTGAGATGGACATAGAATTCGGACCTGAGGCGGAAGACTCCTCTGGAGATGAGGCTCCCCCAAAGAAGATCCGTAGAACTTATAGGGATTAGATTTAAATCCTTGTAACAACTTCCTTTATGTCAAGAAATAAAACTTTATCTTCTTTGTTAGAATTCGAAGTATGAAACTAATAAGAACCATACGTTTTGTCTAAAGGAAAATGGCCCGCGCAAACCAAACCAACTTGATAAAAGATCTCCTCTAAGCGTCTAAGACCTTGGCAGGCAAAACCCGAACCAGGCGCAACCCCTACCACTAGCTTCTAATGCTCCTCCAACCCATGTTTCAGTGGTCAAGCAATTTAGAAGACACAAGCCCCCTACCTTCAATGGAGCAGCTGATCCACTTGCAGCCAAGGAGTGGCTTCACAAGTTGAAGAGAATATTCTGATTAATAGGGTGCACGGACGCCCAGAAGGTCCAGTGTGCTGAGTTTATGTTCTCCGGTGATGCAAGCCACTGGTGGGACTCGATGTCAAGGACGAAGACCCCAGAGCAACAAGCGGAATTGACTTGGGAGCGA